TCAAGCAATTCTCCTGCCTCAGCCTCCCAAATAGCTGGGATTACAGGCGCCCACCACCACGACCAACTGATTTTTGTATTTTTAGTAGAAACGGGGTTTCACCATGTCGGTCAGGCTGGTCTTGAACTCCTGACCTCAGGTGATTTGCCCGCCTTGGCCTCCCAAAGTGCTGGGATTACAGACATGAGCCACCGTGCCCAGCCTTCCCCTGCTTTTTCTAATACTGACATCTGACATAACCATGATATACTTATTAAAACTAAGAAATGAACATCAGCACAATACTATTCACTAAACTACTATCTAAATCTCACCAGTTGTTCCACTAATGTCCTTTTTCTGTTCCAGGATTCAATCCAAGATACCATGTTGCATTTAGTTGTTATACCTCCTTAGTCTCCTTCAATTTGTGACAGTTTCTCAGTCTTGTCTTTCATGACCCTGACACTTTTGAAGACTAGGGTTATGGATTTGGGGGAAGAATATCACAGAGGCAAACTGTATTTCTCTTAGCTTCATATCAGGGGGTATGTGATATCAATATGACTTACTACCAGTGATGTCAACATGATGATTTGGGTCAAGTGATGTCTGCCATTTACTCCACTATAAAGTTACTATTTTTTCCTTCCTTTCCTCAATTTGTTAGAAGTGAGTCACTAAGTCTAGCCCACATTCAAGGGGAGAATTAAGTTCCACCTTCCAGTGGCAGGAATAACACAGACTTTGCTGACATATGTCAAAATCATCATAGTAATTGATAAATATTTTGGGGGAGATTCTTTGAGACTATGCAAATATTCTGTTTCTTCTTAACATTTCACCTAATTTTAGCAATCATTTGTAGACCTTGCAGCAAGTATTATGTGGTATTCTAATGGTTATTTATTTTTCCCATTCTTTGTTTTATTTATTTTTATTTTTTGAGACAGGGTCTCTGTCACTCATACTGGAATGCGGTGGTGCAATCATAGGTCACTGCAGCCTCAAACTCATAGGCTCAAGCGATGCTCCCACTTCAGCCTCCCTTGTAGGTAGGACTACAGGTGTCTGCTACCACACCCAGCTAATTTTTCATTTCTAGTTTTTGCAGAGATGGAGTCTCACTTTGTCTATGCCAGTCTCAAACTCCTGGCCTCAAGCAATCCTCCTACCTCAGCCTCCCAAAGTGCTGGGATTACATGTGTGAACCACTGTATACAGTCCTCCTATATTTATTAATCAAAATTCTTCTGTAAGGAAGACTGGTTCCTTCTCATTTACTCTTTTTTTTTTTTTTTTTTTGAGATAGAGTCTCACTCTGTTGCCCAGGCTGGAGTGCAGCGGCACAATCTCGGCTCACTGCAATCTCCACCTCCCAGGTTCAAACTATTCTCCTGCCTCAGCCTCCTGAGCAGCTGGTATTACAGGCGCCCATCACCACACCCAGCTAATTTTTGTATTTTTAGTAGAGACAGGGTTTCACCATGTTGGCCAGGTTGGTCTCGAACTCCTGATCTCAAGTGATCTACCCACCTTGGCCTCCCAAAGTGTATTTATTTATTCATTTATTTATATCAGATTAGACTCATAGGCATTTGTTTTATTCTTTGGGTTATGTTCCAATACTATTGTGATTTATTTTATTGTTCAAATCATTGCAGTTTTGGTGACTGGTAGCTCCTGCAGGTCAGACCTGCGTCTTTTTGACATGGCCCCCCAAACTCCACTTTTTTTTTTTAATAAGTACTTCTTTGCTTTCCAGCACTACACGGTCTCCTTGCTCATCCTGTCTTTTCTCTGGCTCAGCCCTAATCATTCTTCAAAGGAGCTCTGGTTCCTTGTATTGAAGAATGCTGTTTAGAAACCAAGATCTGGGTATGAACTCTATTTATTTGTTTGTTTAAAGATCAAAAATAAATTGTCTTTATTTTTAAGTCAGAGATTTAATCATGGGATTAAATAAGAAGATTCATTCTTCAAGTTCCTGAAAATTAGTAAAACTTAAAAACTCCAAAATATTTTTACTATTATTTTCACTCAGAATCACAGAAGAAATCATGAGTAGTTTTCCAGATTTTTCATAGGTAAACCCAGTTTCCTCAAATTTAGAACAGAATTATTTGGGGAAAAGTCATGTGCCAGTTTGAAAATGCCTAAGCCATAAAGCCATAAGCCATAAATTATTTACCATTTACAATCCCTTTTTTTTTTTAGAGTCTCGCTCCGTCACCAAGGCTGGAGTGCAGTGGTGCAATGTGCCTCCTGGGCTCAAGGGATCCTCCCACCTCAGCCTCCCAAGTAGCTGGGATTACAGGCACACACCACCATGCCTGGCTAATTTTTGTATTTTTAGTAGAGATGGTGTCTTGCCATGTTGGCCAGGCTGGTCTCAAGCACCTGACCTCAGGTGATCCGCCCGCCTCGGCCTCCCAAAGTGCTGGGATTACAGGCGTGAGCCGCTGCACCCGGCCCCAGACTAGGTTTATCATTTCCAGCCAACTCATCATTTACAATCTTTATTCTCATACTCTCACACTCCTCTACCTGAATTATTGATAGACTTCTGAATTCCACTGCTAGACTCTATTCCCAGGAGTGCTTCCCAAATGCCCCTACCCATAAGAACCTGGCCTTCCAAATAACACTCAAGTTGAAAGCAATGTTTCTGCAAATTAAACAGAAAAATACTTTTTCTACTTAGAAAATGATCTTCTATTACAGAAGACTTATTTGACACCTCAACCCTAACATCAATAATGTAAAAATTGTTGTCCTTATAAATTTTCCCTCTATGTTATTATTATTAATTTTTCTTGTTTTAAGAGACAAGGTCTCGCTCTGTCACCCAGGTTGAAATGCAATAGCATAGCTCATGTACGATCACAGCCCACTGCAGCCTCAAACTCCTGGGCTCAAGCAACACTCCTGCCAGTCTCCCAAGTAGCTGGGACTAGGGGCATGCACCACCATGCCTGGCTAATTAAAACACCTTTTTTCTTCTTTTTTTGTAGCGATAGGACTGGCAGGTGGGGGTGAGGAGGGGTTGGGGGTAGGTGTCTGGTTATCTTGCTCATAGCTCAAGCTGGTCTCAAACTCCTGGCCTCAAACAATTCGCCCGCCTCGGCCTCCCAAAGCACTGGAATTATAGGTGTGAGCCACTGCACCGGGCCTCTAATGTTATTTTTTAGTAACTTTTGTTCTTCATATGAATATTGCCTTAAAATACTTTTTATTCTCTCTTCCCTATTCACTATCATTTCTTACATTACTCAAAGACTTTCTCTTCTCTGAACCACTAGATTGCTCATGAACTGCCTTCTTTCTCAACCAGAATCCTGAATTAAACTAAAACACAATACACAACAAAGAAAGGAACAACCCAATGCTAATTTGGTAAATACCTCAAATTAAACTTCATGCAAATACTAATCATCAAATGTTTAATAAAAGTAAATGAAACAGTTGAGTATGTTTGGGTTTGTTTTTTTCTTGTTTGTTTTGTTGTGTTTTTTTTGAGACGGAGTCTCGCTCTGACGCCCAGGCTGGAGTGCAGTGGCGCAATCTCAGCTCACCGCAACCTCCACCTCCCAGGTTCAAGCGATTCTCCTGCCTCAGCTTCCCAAGTAGCTAGGACTACAGGCATGCACCACCATACCCAGCTAATTTTTGTATTTCTAGTAGAGATGGGATTTTGCCATATTGGCCAGGCTGGTCTCGAACTCCTAACCTCAGGTGATCCACCTGCCTTCGCCTCCCAAAGTGCTGGGATTACAGGCGTGAGCCACTGAACCTGGTCTGCTTGTATTTTTTAACAGCTAGTAAAACAGTTAGTATCGAACACCTACAAAATATATACATGATCCTCACAAAAAAAGAGTCTTCCTAGCCAAGAACTTTCATGTATTGATGGAACTTTCTTTTTCTATTTTATTGCTGCCGAGTAAAAGGAGGACACCATCTTCTTCCTGCTTCTAAAGCCTTCTGATTCTTACTTTCACTGTTGTGTTAGTACAGGAAAGAGATTATAGAAACATTGTTAAGTGGATTACTATATTGATAAAATAGGATGAATAAAGAAATGTCACTACCATTTACTTATAGCATTACTTTTTTTTTTTTTTTTTTGAAACAGGGTCTCGCTTTGTTGCCCAGGCTGGAGTACAGTGGTGCGATCTCAGCTTACTGCAGCCTCCACCTCTTGGGTTCATGAGATTCTCATGCCTTAGCGTCTGGAGTAGCTCGGACTACAGGTGCATACCACCATATCCAGTTAATTTTTGTATTTTCAGTAGAGACAGGGTTTTGCCACGAACTCCTACCCTCAAGTGATCCACCCACCTTGGCCTCCCAAAGTGCTGGGATTACAGGCATGAGCCACGTGCCTGGCCAACTTATAGCATTACTTCTATTAGAAAATATATTTACAGGTCCCAAATCATCTGTTTAAAAATGAACCTTTGTTGTGTGTGTGTGTATATACATATATCTACACACACACACACACACGTGTATCTTTCATAAGTCACTGCACATTATACATAATACTGTGCACCTTGCTTTTTTTGGGCGGCGGGAGGAGGGGATAGGGTCTTGCTGTCACCCAGGCTGGAGTGTAGGTAGCAGCATGATCACAGCTCACTGCAGCCTTGACCTCCCAGGCTCAAGTGATCTTCCCACCTCAGCCTCCAGCCTCCAGAGTAGCTGGGACTACAGGTGTGTACCACCATGCCCAGCAAATATTTTTTATTTTCTGTAGAGACAAGGTCTTGCTATGTTACCCAGGCTAGTCTCGAACTCCTGGGCTCAAGCAATCCTCTTGCCTTGGCTTCCCAAAGTGCTGGGATTACAGGTGTGAGCCACTGCACCCAGACTGCACCTTGCTTTTTACACTTAACATATCTTCAAGATCTTAGGTCTTCCATATTAGTATATAAAGATAGGTCTCATTATTTTTAACAGATGCCTAACATTCCGCAGCATTTTTTTAAAGCTGGCAACTACCTATTCAAAATATAAACACTAAAACAATCTAAACAGAATAGAATGAACAGTTTAAACCTTGTTATCAAAGTCCATTACCAGCTTTTGGATAGACTAACCTTCACTCGGGGACAGAAAAGAAGCATAAAAGGCCAAGGAGAAGAGCAATTTTGATCTAGGGAATTCTGGAGCTGGTCTAGGATCATTCTTGTCCCATACACTTGGGGTTGTGCTATGCCAGGGGTTTGGACCAGCCCTATCAACTCCAATTTTACTAATTTCCAGGAGGCCAAACCAGTGGATTATATAGGCCCTTCGGAATGCCCATGGCCCATATCTTTAGCACTCAAACTTCTGAGGGGGCACAGAGACAATGTCCTTTTCTCCAGAAAAGGAAAGGACAGCTCTGTTGGAAGCAAGCTATCTGGACCTCTAGGCTTTCAAAATAGAGCTATTTCAAGTAAAACTACACTAGGCTTATTCATGAGAAGGATAAAAAACAAATGTTGCCATATTATTTCACCACTGTCTTGACTTATTCTATATTAATTTCATGGGACTGCTATCCAAATATTAGTCCACTAACAATATTATTACCTACTGGGTTACATTTACAAAGACTACCTTTGAAAGTGTCTTAAAAGAAGGAAAAAAATAATATGATCATGTCATACTTACGAAGTGCCGGACAGCAAAAATGGAGTGCGAACACCATCCACCACCACAACGTTCCTTATATTGGGTTTGGCTAACGTCTTCTTCGTTTTGGTCTGGACAGCTTTAAGATAAAGTTTAAAAATAAGCTGCTAATTAAAATATATAAGTCTGATTACTTTTACTTTTTTTTTTTTTAAGCTGGAGTCTCGCTCTGTCACCCAGGCTGGAGTGCAATGGTGCAATCTCGGCTCACTGCAACCTCTGCCTCCTGGATTCAAGCAATTCTCCTGCCTCAACCTCCCGAGTAGCTGGGATTACAGGCACCTGCCATCATGCCTGGCTAATTTTTGTATTTTTGTAGAGATGGGGTTTCACCATGTTGGCCAGGCTGGTCTCAAACTCCTGACCTCAGGTGACGTGCCCGCCTCAGCCTCCCAAACTGCTGGGATTACAGACATGAGCCACCATGCCCAGCCTACTTTTACATTTTTTAAGACAGTCATTTTAAGAATTATTACATCATTAATGCCAACCTGCATTTACCATTTACTAAACCACTTTAAATTTTTTTCAAAAAAAGGCTAAGAAACTGACTAGCATTTGTAAGTTTCTACATAATATTTAAGATAAAGCTTATATCCAATGATGAGGGAATTTATGCCATTAACAAAATAGTTCATTTTTATTAAGTGTTTGACAACCTATATCATTAGAAGTAACCAAATTTACATGCAAATCTACCCTTAATATCAGAAGTTGCAATGATTGATACTGTTCACTCTTCACATAGCTTGATGTTCTTACCTTTCTATGTGGAAATAAAGGGCCCTTGGTTGGTGACTTGCTATTCTGCAAAAACCTACATGCCTAAATACTTTTTAATCTCAAAAAAGCAAACTTCCTTTAGGTTTCTTTCTTTTTTTTTTTTTTTAATGTTTAAGCTGTATATTTACTCATTGAAACACTAGGTAAAATAAGGGTAAAATCAACAAGGAAAAATAGTTGTTTGATTCATTTGTACTTAAATTGACTAAAGTAGTACTAACGTCATTATGATGCAGCAAATATAAGACCTCTTTCTACAAAGATTAGCATAACCAACAAATTAGGGGATATAGTAAAACTGAGCCAAAAAGGGTGAGGAAATCAATTAACTGTTTACCTCAATAGTTTTTAAAAAATAAGCAAAGCCTCAAAATCCCAAACAATAGAAGTATCTTCATAACACCAATTTGTACTTGTATTTCTTATTCTTGAGGTTAGATTCTAAACACTAAAGATATCCAAACTAGTATTAGATCTACTTATCTATAGCCAGAGACAGCTTTTATCATGTTGTCCTTAGCAGCCAAAGTTATTAAAATGTCTTTTCTCCAGGAAGATCCAATAGGAAAAAAAGAAACCTCTCTGATTACGCTCCAACCATACTCCACCCTCCATCAAATTGACTGGATAGACATAATGGAAACCAGAACACGTGGTTTCCAAACAAGAAAAATCCTATCAGGGAGGGGAGGAGGGGAGAGGAAGGTTCAGCCAGTGCCCAGACTGAAATTGAGTAATATCAATTTTACTCATCTTTACATATCTTCAGGTTGCACGTTCGTGGAGTAGTTTAGGAATAAATCCATGGTTTGTGGAGTACTAAAATACCCAGTCGTCTGCTGTATTACATTAAGGCCTTCCCCAGCAGCTTCCAAGGCAGCCTCCAAGTCACTGGCAGGAGAATTTGGCTGGAACTGCAAGCAGGACTGCAGAGATTCCTCTTCATAGTCATAGAAGGGACTATTCCAGGCCTGATTGTTCCAGAACTGGGTGCACCAGGTCTGAGCGTTCCAGGAGTGGTTGCTCCAGGGTGGGACGTTCTGGCTCTGGTTGCTCCAGGATGAATTGTTCCAGGTCTGGTTGCTCCACATCGGAAGGTTCCCAGTCGGGTTCACCAGGCATCCCTGGTAGTAGGAAGAGTAGAGGCTGGGGTAGGTAGGCGCTGAAGCCTTCTGAGTCACACCATTGGTATTCTTTGGCCAGCTGTTTTTCAGCCACCTCTTAGATTTCATTCTCTGGTTCTGGAACCAGGTCTTCACCTGTTTGTAGCGGAGGTTCAGGATGTTGGAAAGTTCTTGCATCTGCTGGAGGCTGAGGTATCTCTGTCTCTGAAATCTATCATTGAGTACACACAGCTGGGCGGAAGAGAACACAGTTCTGGCCTTCTGTTTCTTGACCAGGACCTTGTCTTCCTTTTTTGTGGCACTATTCTCTGCAGCAGTAGGTTGTTTGCCTTTGGGACTGGTGGAAGAATCGGGGCTGTCCTGAATAAGCAGATCCATGGAGGAAGGAAGAGGAGAGACAGTCTCCATGTGAGGCATCTCAGTAG